TCATCCGAAGGGCCCTCCCGTGGCAGTGGAGGCTGCTCTGGCTGCGCGCAAGCGCGCGAGGGCGGCGCGCGGCGGCGCGGTGCTGACTTACGCTGCAGGCAGTCGGCGTTGAGCAGGTCCTTGCACTTTTCGTGGCACTTGACGCCGCACTCCGTGCAGCGCACGCCCTGCCGCGCGATGCCCCACAGCAGCCCCTCGCACTCGTAGCAGTAGGTGGGCGACGTCGCCGTCCACAGCACGAAGTTGTGCGGCGTCGTCGACGAGATGGGGTAGATGAGCGCTTGCAGCGTCTTCTTGTACACGTGCATCTTCTGCAAGGTCCAAGCGCGCTCGATGTCAACTCTTCTAGTTCTTTTTTTTTAATTTTTTTTGTATTTTTCATAATATGCTACTTATAGCATATGTTCATAATATGCTACTTAATGCAATAATGTCGACTTAACGCAGAGGAACGATAAACCACTCTGTAAGGCCGGCGCCCGTTATTGATTAAACAATCGGCCGTCCGTTAATAAAGATCGAAACAAATGAATTGTAACCAAAGATATATGAGTACACTTATTACAAAGATAGTATTTTGTTAAAAGAAAATGTTATTACCAAAAGTATTGTTCTACACAGGGGCGATAACTCGGTTTGTTATTTGTGTTATGAATACATGCAAAGTTGTAACCTGTGCACGCAGAACCCCTATCCCCACTCTTACATTATATTAAGTTGAATGACAAATCCTTGTAGTAACAAGGGCTTTTGGCCAAATCTGATAACAAAAACTATTTGCTCCTGTTTAAAAAAACTATCTCTTACGTCAACGACTTTTGGCACGTATCACGTATTGTGACCCACGGAAGCAATAGACTTCCTACCGATAGAACATGAGGAAAATGAATATTTCATAACATTCTTCCCCGAAATAACAATACTCCCAACTAACACCCCGTAAAAATTAAGAAAATGTTTCCTGCGTTTTTCCCTCCCTTGAAACTCCTCGACTGTAAATCATCATTCCTGCTCCATTAACTCTTTAGCTACCACCCTTATATCTTACTTCTCCTATAATTTTCACTTTAACTTATCACCACCTTTCATTAAAAACACGTGTACCTATTTTCCTTGGTTTTGTCAATATAAAGGTGAGTCACATTACTTAAATCCCTTCTATCATATTTGAACGATTGAAGACATTGCTATGCAGATCTCAAAGAAGTGCATGAAGGAATGGAGCTGTTCAAACGTGCGAGAGGCGCTTAAGTTACGTGAGTCATCCGGGGTAGACTGTAAACATTATTGAAACTCATGTATATTGGAGAATGATTTTTATGTTCACCTTATAAAAGTAAAAAAATCTAATTTTCATTAAACAACTTATAATTATACCATATCCAAAACAATAATAACAAAAATCCTAATTATGCTACTTGCTATTTTTATGCTTCTTAAATAAAAGTGACGCTATGTTAGATTTGCCGCTATTCCAATTATTTCCTTTTATTCAGTATTCTACTTCTTATTTAAATAATCTTACATTAATATATGTATTATTTTCTACTACTTATAATATATACTACTTATTCTTACACTATACTTTTTCTCTTAGCATTTGCTTGATTCTTGCCCTTATTCTACGCATCTTAATCTTTTTCATTATTGTACTGCTCCATTTTGTTCTTAAACAATAACACGGATGCTGTTTATTAAAAAAGACGTTTTAACGGTACAATTATCTTAGGTGGTTCATGGCTTTCTATAGTTCAAAAAGAAACTTTTATCCCTCACCTTTTCTTTCTCTCCAATCCAAAATTTCCTTTCCTTTTAATTGTATACTGTCTTTAACTAACAATCTTAATGAAAGAAAATTCCGTATAGTTCTGATTTTCACTTCCCATTTACGATTTTATTATAGGTTTTGAAGAATGGATACAAACAGTTTTTGAACTTAATATAGCCGTTATGTTTCCTAATATTTCACTTTCAATTCTAATTTTCATTCTGGTCCCTACCTCCGTTCTTAAAAGCATCCGGTTGCATTGATTCATTTCCTGAAGCATTTAAAATCTATTAGTGTGTTCCTAGCGCGCCTGCAAAGTTTTCTTGGAATTTATGTTGGATTTATTTCTAAAAGTTCAGCTTTGCAGAAAGCGGCATTTAATTTCAGAACTCGAGTTACATTAGATTAAAATTAAGTCGTTCAATAATTTGCACGTTCTTAAAAGATATTGCCACGCGCACTAGCTGCAAACGAAAGTCGATCGTGCTCGGGAACGGGCAGAGCAAAGGCGCCTGTTTCCATGGAAACGGAAGCTAATATGGTCGTAAAACAAGTTATAAAGCATAAATTTTGAACTTGATCTGGCTTTACGACTCGGCACAGTGAAATACTGACTAGCAGCGCATTAACAATCTGCAAACTGGCTCGCACGTGGACTTTTCTATACTTTGTAAAGTTAGGTTTATCCGGTGACAAAAAGCACATGGACATTTATTTAGCACAAAGAACACAATAAGATTCTGTGACCATTTAATAAATGTGTATGTATGCCCTCTACTAGCGGACTCGTACAAATCAAATATATATTTTTTCCGTGTTTTTGAGTATTGCTAATAACTTACAAGCTTTGGACAGAGGCTTTGCGACTAATTTTGAGCTTTAAAGATTACAATTTTGCGTCAAGCTGCTTGGTGTCATAGAATAAGAATTTTCATAAAGTTCTGATGTTCTAATGTATTAATATTGAATTATTTTGTTTTCTTTTCAGATTTTTTAAATACCACCTTTTTAAAGTTGTGTATTGGGAATCTTTCAATTACATGTAAAGAAATTTCCTCCAAATGTATTACTTAAAAAATTTAAACTAACTTGAGATATTACAAGTTATCTTGTTTTTTATAATGTGTTAAATACGTTATTAAAAGTGAAATAATTTTCTTAACTAAACTTAACTAATTTACCTAATTGACTTTCACATTTTTTCAATAAAATTCTATTGCCGAAACAAACACACAATACTTACTCGTTTTATACTCATTTAAACAAAACATTCATGTTAAACATTAAAATGAATATAAAATTATATTTAAAATAAAAATTAAGTTTCATATCATTCTAATAAGTGATAAAATATACTTTACTAATCTTTGAAAATAGGAAATGGGAGTACACATTTCTGAGAGAAAAAAGTTTGAATTTTATATACTTCATTCTTCACATCTCTGAAATAGAAGAGTTGCTGAAATATTTTCCAAATTAAAAGTGAAAATTACATGAAACATGGGGAGAAATATTTTTTCTCTCGGTTATCGCATAGAACAATGGCTCTCATAGTTGAACCCGTTTACTTACGGCCGATTTCTCTACCTAAGGACATCTTTAAGAGAAACGAATATTTTTGATAGTTTATTGAGATTGTTGCCTGCCATTGTAACTAAGGTCTCTTTTGTTTTGTTTCGACGTAACACGTTTTCTGCTCATTCACACATACTTTTTCATATTATGATTGAATGAGACAATCACACAGACAGAGGAACAGTTTTCCCCCTTTTTTGTCAGTTAGAAGGCGAATTGCAGGAAGCGAAACTATTCAAAATGATATCGACAGTTTACTCTTAATATTAGGGATACGTTTTTAATATATTTTGTTTTATGTTTAAGTGACATATATTTTCTGAAATTACATCAATATATTGAAGGGGTTCTCAAAAACGTGTTTTTTATTTAGGTAGAAATTATTACAAATATTGAGCAAAAGTCATGATTACAAGTGGTTGCCGAAACCCTCTTTGGCATTACAAAGTATTGATCCTAAATGTCTTAACAATGGTTCTTTGATACATCACTTCAAATGATGATATTAGAAAATGAGGCTTTCTGGAGCTAGAAGTTGGAGAATTACTGTCCTAAAAATCACTTCTCATTTCTTATGGTTGAGTGTATAAAATGGAGTCTTGGTTGCTTCCATGAAATGAGTTCTAATGGATTAAATGAGTAGATGATGGATCGGATGGAATACATGTCATATGGTTAAATACAAGGGTTGATTACTACGATTGAGCATGATTAGAGGAGTCTTTATGATGGGCTGTTTTATTTTGGTAGAATACAAGGGTTGATTGTTATTACTGAGTGTATAAGAAAGGCCCTTATGATAGAGTACATGGGTTTCGTTCTGATGGTGGAGAAGATGGTTTGTGTCCTTGTAGCTGAGTCCATGGGTTGAGTCCTTAGAGTACATGGGATGTGGCGTTGATGGGTTAGTTCTTACGCTCGCACTCACCAGTTCCTCGTCGTTGAGCGTGGCGCGCGGCACGGCAGATGTGAGTCCCGCGTTGCGTTTGGTGGCGGCCATGGTCTGCGGAGGGCAGCGGTGAGCGCGGGCGGCACGGCGTGGAGCGCGGCGGGGGCGGCGGGGGTGGCAGCGGCCACCACACGCCGCCCCCAACGCCCGCTCCCCACCTCCTCCCTTTCCAACCCTCCCATCTCCTTCAAACCCTGCCCAATCCCTCTCTCGTAGCTCTTCGCACAGGAAGCTCACGGACTGACAGACTCAAGCAGCAGAATTTTAGTTTTCATTTTAAAAAAATGAAAGGGTTTTAAGTTACATAAAGAATATGAGATACGTTTACATACAGAACAGGTGACAATTTATGTGCGATAAATAAACAACAATTAATTTTTATGCATTGCAAATATATATTACCAAAATTGATATATTCAGGCACTCATTCATAGTTAAGTATTATTATTCTAAAGTAATTTCATAATTTATTCATAATTTGCAATGGAAACGTTGTTCATTTGGAAATTTGCATTTGGATGAAGTATATAAAACTAATGAAAATGTTGTGTGTAATCCACATCGACATTCAATAGTGAACGCTGTGCAAATTTGTGACTCTACAGAAGAAAGAGTATTACTAGGTTTGTGTTTTCATATTTACAGAAAAATGTAAACTCGTGACCTGGTTACGCAAGACATGCCGTTGAACAAACCCAAGAACGTAAAACAGTTGCTGTTCAATTACGCAACACGCAATTTAATGACTCACAAAACGTTATAGATATGACTACAAAAAATGAAAAATTAGTATCGAAAACGCTCCAACAGTTACTCAATTACTAGTTCTATGAAAAAGTTTATTGACTAATAATTTTCAACTCGTAAGTTGCATACGTGTTTTAAGCAAGGCAATAACAACTATAAAACTTTGCGCTTAGAATTCTGTTGCTCAACTGTCAATCTCGAACTACCATTTACTTAAACTAGAAATAATATTGTAAGATAATACAATGTAGCGTGGGGAAGTAATGCTTCTAAAATACCGCACGCATTAGTTTACATCGCAAGCCCAGAAATTTCCAGAAATTTGCCAGAAAGAAGCTTAGAACGTGTAAAGAAGCCAGCAAGAAAGTCGAAAGGGAATCAGAATGAATATTAACCAATAAGAAGTTCCCCTGTGAAGCGTTTTGGCTCCCGTCAATGAAAGCGAAAGCGCAAAAGGGGCTCTTTGCGTGGAAGCGCACATCTCCGAAGACGCTCAAGCGCTGCGGTTCCGCTAACACGGCCCGCTCCCCTCACCCCTGCCCCCTTGGCCTGAAGCCCTAGCGCCCTTCTGCCCTCGACACTCCCCCTGAGCTCCTCCGAGGTTAATCCCCGGGGCGGCGGCGGCGGCGGCGGGAAACCCGCGTCGTAGCCCAGAAGCAAGGAAATCTCATGCAGCGCGGAGCTTCCTGGCGCCCGGCACGCGCGCCCGACCTCTGCCCTTTCGGGCGGCCAATAAGATGCGGCCCCGCCCCCTTCCCCCTGCAGTCGCGAGCGTTTGAAGCGCCGCCGCCCCCTCCCCAGCCCCGACCCTTGGCTGGGAGCGGACAGCGTCCTGCCCGGGCATAAGTGGATGTTTTCAGCTCCGTTGTTCGAAAAAATGGCCCCCACCTCCGTTGAAAAAACTTTTAAACTTTCGGATTGCAAACGAGATGGATATACAGCGGCTTTATAGATTCTTTGCGATGAGGAGCTAGACCCTTCCGTCCTTAAAGAGATTTCGTTCCGAAAGCCTCGGTCTTACCCCATTTTCAATCGAGTCGGAGGTTTGCCGATTGACAGGAGCAGCTGCGCTTGATGTGGGAGCTACCTCAGCTCTGTGACGGCTGCGGCCGTTCGCTCCAGCGGAGAGCGATAATTTGGAAATGTCAGTTTACGGTGAAACGTGAACGCGCGCGCGCCCCGTACGCCCTCGACATGAATCATCGAAACGCGCCACGTTTGAAGCGCGCGGCGCGGCGGCTCGGGGAACTAGCGCCGCCTACGAGTGCAACGGCCCCTGTGATGACGCTGGTCTGCAACCATAGAAACACGACGGGGCAGCGGATTGCATCCACCTACCGCTCTCAGGCGTTCTTTTAAAATGCCTCGGTACTTGTTGACAGGCTCTACTAATATGGTTACTTAAATATTTTCAGTAGAGCTTTACATTTTATTCAAGGAAGTTACGAGAAAACTGCTGATGAAAAGGAAAATATTTACTTTTGAAAAGGATTACAAAAAATTCCGTACCGGTTATATATTTTTCTCATGAGAGAGAATCCCTAAAACTTTTCTTCTTCAGAACGAAATCTCATTCTAATGAATCAGTCTTGATAAATAACTGCCACTAATTTTAAATTAAAGTCTCCATGCCGCTTGCTCGTTTGATCCGCTTACTGAGGAGAAGAGTTTTCAAATAGCAGGGCCCAATTGCTTCAAGATTCATCTCTGGCGCGCCCCCTTCCCCGGGCCTGTGCTTGGCGAAATGCAGCAGCTCCCTTTTGTCTTCCCGCCCCACCCCCTCCCTCCCCTCGCCCAGCCCGTGCGGTCGCGCTTTGTTCGAAAGCGCATGGCAAGTGCGTGGCGCGAAGGCCGGTGAGCGAGCGACGCTGCGACGGCGGCGGAAACCCGCGACGCGCCCCCGAAAGCGAGAAGTTTTTCTATTTCGCGGAGAGGTTTTTAATCTTCTTATTGAAGAGACTCTTTCGGCTCCACCTGCCGCCGGCCGGGCCGGAGCCGGGCCGGGGCCGGGGCCGGGGCGAGCCGGGGCGGGTCATCCCTCGCCCCGCGCATCGGGCGAGGGCGCCCCGGGCGCTCCCCTTTAAGTTGTATGCGGGAGGGCCACAAAAGAAAGGGGGGAATCAGGCCAAACCATACGAGAGGGAAAAGCGCGCAAGCTGTTCCAGGCCGCACGACAGATGGCGGTTGCAGCCTATTCAACAGATAGCTGTCTCTGTCGAGGATACCAGAGCCCACTATGTACTTGCGTGTTTGATTTCCCTTTGCTCGACGGGAAGCGGATAAGCTAAATTACAGGTGGTTTCGTGACCCCGTTACGAACTCAAATTACAACGTCGAAAGATGATCTTCGAGACAGAAAAATGTCTTGCACAGACAACAGGTGCAGAATGTTATTTTTCGGGTTGTATTGTAGAAATCGGTTTGCTGTTCAAATGATCTTCGTTGAATGATAAAGTATTGAAAAATGCAAATTTTGTAGCATCAATGTCTGTTTGATTATTTAAAAATAAATATGAAAATTTCATATTTAACTGAAAAGTAATTTTTTTATTCTCTTTTCTACGAAAAGAAACATATTTCCATCATGCTGATGAATATTATTTGAATGTTCAATATTTACATTTATTGCTTTCCTCAAATGACGTCAATGAATTACAAAAGTAATCTTATTTAATTGTCATTTTTATTGAAGCAGCATTTGTATTAATGATGAATTTTATAATCTGTCATAATATAATATTCTTTTACTCCGCGGCAGATGATCTGTGAGAAACATATTTAGTCGATTTGAACTCCGCATTTTAAATGGATGTTTCATATGGTGGTTATCGCGTGGAAGAAAACAGTAAAACACTTGGTATCCTCTAAGGGCGTTTCACTGCAATTAATATATTTGAACGTAAAGATAACGAAAGACGTCAAATCGAAAAAGATATCCACAAAGAGTGATGTTAAGTCGTAAACCACCAAAAAGGAAGACAAATTATGTACTCATAATCAATTGATCTACGCATGGTTGGCTGAAACTCCCTTTCATAAGATACCGAAGGCTTGCGAGATAAAGAGTCTTTGAACGTTCTCGGCCGAGCGAACGACGGTGTTGAGCGTGGCCTTCCTCAGGGCTGAGGGAGGCCACTTGCTGCGGCTCGCCCGCCGCCCGGGCGGGGCGGCAGGCGAGGCGCGTCGCGCGCGTGTGCGAGCGCAGCTGTCGCCATCACGCGCGGCACGCGTTGCGCTGCGCACGTGCAGGTGAAGGGGCCGTGCAGGCGGGGAGCACGTGGAGGGGGGGTTGGTCGCGTGCGGGAACGTGGCCACCGGTGGAGAAAAGTTCCCGCGCCTCTGCAACGACGTCCTACAAACAAACTATACTTAGAGTCGCAGATACATTTTGGAGAGGTCAAATGTTTTTGCTCCCAAATCTTTGTTCCCAAATGGCTTTAAAATATAGAAAAAATACTTCAGATATAATATTACGAAACAAATAAGAACACGTAGAATAAAGAGGCTAAATTTTGAATGCAAATAATTGTAAACAGCTTGAAACAAAGTAATAAAATACAATCCATTTCTCATGATATTTAATTCAATTACAAAGACACGATATAAAATTTAATAGGTTTTCAATTGAAATATATTGCAATTTTACAAAACGAAAAACATATAAGTAAATTGTTTTAGGAAAAAAAAACGAGGAATGCTAATGATCCTTTCATCTTGGCAGTAAAAATTCTCAAATTTCCCTTGGCAGTTAATTTCTTTTTTACTTCTCTTCCTGATGTCAGATGAAAGAAAAAGATGGCTTTTCTCCACAGAAGGCCACGAATAGGTCGACATTGAATAAGCATGCCATGCAACCTCTGCGCTACGACCCTGGAAGGCCCAAGGGCGGAGCATAGGATCAGGGGTGAGACTGGATGTCAGAGTAACGGCGTGAATGACAAACGTGTTGCAATCAGAAAATGGGAAAATGCTTGCGGTTTAATGCAATTCAATGGTTGGTGGATACTACGTATATAGTCCGTTTTTGTCCCCTTTTATTGTTATAAGTAATTTGTAGAAAAAATTCGAAACCAAATTCTGAGTTCTTAAATAAATTAATGCAGGGTAATTACTATTCCTTTCTCCCACTCTCGGAGTCCGAAGAAAACATTTCCTTCAAGACTAAAAGAAAAGTTAAGATTTGTGAATTTATCACCTTTTAAACATCCCAAAAGTTGCAGTGTAATTCATGGTTAAATGATAAAAAAAGGATCTTCAATCGGTTGTTGATGCGATAATTTAGAATTACCATCCACATGATGAAACAACAATCACGCACTGAAATTGCTGTTAAAGTTTCTCACATTGTGTACTCAAAGCGAGGCAAAGTACGAACGTTCTGTTGAGAATGTATCCCAAACTGCAGTTTCACACACATCCATTTGCACCATTTTGATACAAACACTTCTTTACAGGGGGCCACGTGAGTACAGTATAATACAAAGTTTCAAATGTCACCTATGCAGTCAATTTTTGAAATTGTTTTAAATCAGTAATTTATTTCCGTTTATCCTTTGATAAAACAAGTCAGCTACGGTTTTTGGGTAACAAAAACGTAGTGATGCAAAACATTGAATTTCATTTTATGTTGCGAAAGTATTATTGTAATCAGTAGAGTTGTAGTGTGTGATAATTTATTTGGAAAATGAACAACGAAAATATTTTAGGGGATGAAGAGTATACATTTCAATATTGAAACATTAGTATCTTGAGTATCTACTGATGACTCGAGTAGTGTGTATTATTTACACACAATAGCTTGTGGAAAAAAAGAAATATCTTCGGGACTATGTGTGCTACTATTAAGCATTCAAAACATAACCTTGGCCCAGAGGGGAGAATACCCAAAAAACTTTGGTGCTTAAAGTTTAAGAATCGCTCTTCTACTGAGTGTAATAATTTGATATATATGCTTCCTTTCTTTTGTTTGAAACTTTGAATATATTGATTATTAATATTATTATAAATTGTTTATTTATTATTATAGATTCTAGTTTCATGTTTTGTTTTTTGGTATCAGTTCGTTGTAAAATGTAGGTTTTAAAATTCCACATTATTTGTGTATTTTGTATAAGTACACCACCTGTATAAAACAAGAACCTTTTTAAAAAATGAAAAATATAAATGAATTGTATATATTCATGAAGCAATTTCCTACTCTTTTACTTTTACAAAGCACAAAATAAACCCAATTGAAAACTGTGTGACTCCACCAGTGCAAAAGGGAAATGGGGCAAGTTGTATCTACACGACGCTTCCCCACGCCGGCGCATTGTGTGAGGGCCATTCCTGGAAGTGTGCGAGGGCGGGAGGGGGGCGAGGGAGAGTGCGAGGGCAGGAGGGGGCGAGGGACTGTGCGAGGGCGGGAGGGGGCGAGGACTGTGCGAGGCGGGAGGGGGTGAGGTGAAGGGTCTGAGGTCGGGAGCGCAGCGGGTGCGGACGAGGTCGAGAAGATAAAGAGAGAGAAGTGAAGACGAAGGCGCATACAGAAGGATCCACGCTACAAGAGGAGAGCGGGCAGAAAAGAAGGTCGAAGAGAGACAGGCGGTCACCAGTACCTTGAGCACCTTGCAGGCGGACGGACGGGCGGGCGCGGCGCGGGCCGGGTCGGGCAGCGGAAGCAGAGAACACACACTTAGTGCGCCTGCTGCTGCCGGGCGCAGCGCCGCGAATGGCGAGGGCGCGCGCGCATGCGGCTCAGAACGGACGCCTACGAAACGCTGCGATTCACGACCTCTTAAGTAAGCATCTGTCTGTCTGTCTGTCTGTATAATCAACAGGCTTCCAGGCCGGATTGAAGCATCTCCGGGGAGTAGCTTAACGATGCATTCTAGACAGCTGTTGGAAGCGAGCTAGTTTATCATTGTTTACCTCGCCCACCCAGCGAGCCGAAGCATCCATAGACCCGGGAAATGTCTCTTTTCTCAGCACGAATGCCATTCCTCAGCTTTATCCTTATCCCAGATGCTTTTCTATTGCCTCAACGCCGTACGGTTGTAAGAAGTCTCCAAAAAAACGAACATGCTAACTACAAGCCATCTGGGATCCAAATAAAAGATATACAATGAGCGAATTTCCGTAAAAAATTCGCAAATTACGGAGAGCGACCCTTTCATTTAATCATCGTTCAAAATTGAAATAGGGAAATAAGATGACTGCTTGTTTGACGCTTTCAATTTTTTCACTTTTGAACAAATTTTTTGGCTTTTAGCTTTTTTAAGATGACTTTATTTTCACAAACGCAAAGAGAATAATCTGCGCATTAACTTGAAATATAGTTTTGAAATAGGCTAATTGCTTTAAAGATGCCATTTTGAGTCAAAAAGCAGACCCTTCTGTTTTAAGTGTTACTCAATGTTTTACTGTAATTACTCACAGATTAATTTTCTTTAATTTAACGTTTTATTTAGTTGTCTCACAAAAAAGGCTATCTTTTGGTAATGTAATATCTGAAAGTACTTTGAAAAACCAAACCCTTGGGGTGGATAGTGCTGTTCACAGAAGTACGCACAATATACAGGCAGACAGACATTTAACAATTACAAAATTCCAACGCAAAAGGAACACCCAAAAAGCTTATTTGCGTAAAAATGTCGAGATCGATTTTTGCAACATAACTTAAATTTATGTATACGGAACTTTCAAAAATAATTAATGTTTCATCATTTGGTCTGCTCTTCGTGAGCCCGCCGAGTCGCCCATTGCTGGCCGCGGCGCGGCGCGGCGCGGCGGGGGGGGCGGGGCGGGGGCGGAGAGCCGGGTCCGTGCCCGCCCCCGCCCCTCGCCCGCGCCCGGGCCCTCGCCCACCCAGAGGCGCACTCACCAGCTCCGACACGAGCGGGATGGACTTGCGGCGCGGCCGGATGTCCGGCATGCTGTCGATGTTGCTGTAGAACGGGTTGTCTCCGGGGTGCCTGCAACACACGCTCGTCAGTGACATTGCTCCCCGTGACCTTTCCGTTCTGAGTCTTCTGTGCGAGTGGCAGTGTGGTGTCACAATCTCAAGTAGAACTGACGTGATTTGAAAGGAAGTAAATTTATACCCGGAGAAAACACCTATGATTAAGTCAACGTACAAATACAAAAAAACAAAGTAAAGGACTTGAGATCGTTCCATATCCTCTATCGTTTCCCGACATATCTCTTTAAGGACTAGAGAGAACATTAAAAATTACATTGAAATATTACTAATGTCCTATATCAAGGGGTTCGAATGGTTTTGATGGTTTTGGATTGCCTATGTAACAAACTTGCTGTTTAAAAAAATATATGTGTTAATTACAAGGGTAAGCACTAGAAAGTTATCTAGTTCGTCCGATCTTTTGTCAATGACTCTTCAAAACTTCTGAAAAGATTTTAGTTGTGTCGTCGGAATCTGAGCTTTCAGCAGGACTGTATTTGTATGTTACTGAAATATTTTTCAGACAAGGAATCGCGGAATATCGGTAGACACATGGAACGTAAGCAACAAAATTCTGATTTATTCGCGATTTCGGATATCTGCTTCCGGTCGGACGTAGGATCTACTGTTGTTCCCATTTCTTACGACCGTGAGCAACGTTCGAGCGATCTGCTCGATTCTGCTCCGCGCGCGTCCGTTTCTGTGGGACGTGGCTGGTGTGGGCGTGGTGCGGGCTGGCAGCGTCACTCACTCACTCACCCGTTGGCGCGTCCCGCGTTGTCGCCTCCTCCGCCACCGCCGCTCTGGGGAGACAAAGCCACCGTTAGAGGCGCCCCCAGCCGCGCGCGTCGCCGCCGCCCCCGCCGCCGCCTCCCGCGCCTCCTTCTCCTCCTCCTGTTCCACCGCCGCCTCCGCCGCCGCCGCTCGACTCGACTCGACTCGACCGCCCCGGGGAAGCAGAGGCGATCGCGACGCTCAACCCGCGCCACCCCCACGCTGCTCATCGCTTCCGCACGCGTGCTGACTTACAGATGCCCTCTTGAGAACTGCGGCTACCCGAACAATTGAATACACGCGAAGTCGAATATTTGTTACCCTTGTCACATTTGAAATCTAATTCATTTCCGGAGATCTGATTTTTTTTGGGTTAGATTTTCGCTGAGGTTTATCGTTTCGTGCTATCAGATCGGAACGCGATGCTATTGATATGATTTAAACTCACAGCGCTACTCTACTTCTCGTTATGGCTGTAGTATTAAAATGTATATATAAATCGATTTTTGGTTTGTTATGCATACTTATATTTTTTCTGTAATATTTTTTCTTTCTTTTCAGTGAGCTGTAGTATCATCTAATGATTTATAATAGGATTTTTAATGTAAATGAATGGTCCCTGAATGTTTGTGCTCGACATCACATTTTTTGGACGTACATTGCCCCTAATGACTAGCTTTCCAGTATAGTAAGCACGGCATTCTGTAATTAGCACGCGTGATAACGAATGTAAATAATAAATGAGAAAATATTATGACTTTTGTGATCACCCATAATATTCTATTTTTCAGAGTAACTTGCTCATCGATTCTTCAGGAATGAACTAAAGCTAGAAACGTTTCAATTTCTGGGGTGCCAAATCCCTCGTGATTCGTGATTCTACCTGCCCTCGTAACGCTTCATGGATAATTGAGGTAGGATATTTAAGCTTATATAATTGAAGCATTGATAAAGACTTGAACGTTACCTCATCTCGTCACGCAATTTCACCCTTCCTGTTCATTAGGCGCTATCTTAGGAAGGGGATGGCTGTGTTCTTGCAAATTAACACCTTATCATTTACGGTTTCAGGAATCTAAGATAGTGATTCGTGTTAGGCCATTGTGTGTATGGAACTACATATTTACACGTTTATACTACCTGATACCGAACAAGGAACTTTTACCTCCCATGTAACACGAACCTGCATACTCGATGAGCCTCATAAAAATGGAACAAATGCTTTGGAGAATGAATGAATATTCTCTTGTACTAAACAAGAATTTGTAAGAAAAATTAACTTTTAATTTACTGTAGATTAATAATTTTAATTATCATAAAAATATTTGCATTCACAAAGTAAGAGTAATAATTTATATCTCGGGCACACTCTTTGACAAGAAGTGGCAGCACATTTAATCGTAATAGTCATCATGTGATCCCATGCTGTGTTGTTCCCACGCTCTCTAACACCCGATGCACACGCATATTGTCGAACGGATTCGGAGTTTTAGGGATCGCGCGCATACGCAGTGTGGCCTCTAAAACCCCAGAAGCAGCACTGCGCCCGCGTGCATTCGCCAAAACCCCGAAATCGCGCGTCAAAAGCAAGCGTGTTCGTCGGGGCAAAGCGACTTGGCTAAAAAAACAACCCCACACACAAAAAAGAAAAGAGGAAAGGGGGAATGCAACCCCGCCGGGCCCCCGGCCCGCCGGCCGCCGCCGGCCTTCCCTCCGGCCTCCCCTCCGCTCCCCTCCCAGATCAATGGCCCCCGAGGCTTTTGCCCCGAACCCGCGGGGGGCGGGCGGCCGCGGCGGCCGGGCGGCGGCTTTTGCGGGCGGCCGGCCCGCGTCCCCCACGCCCCAAGGTCGTGCGCGGTACGCGGGTTGTTGAGCGGAAACGGTAGAAAGGCTTTCCGTCGGGCAAAGAGCCCGCCAAGCCGCGTCGGCAGCCCAGGTCAAGGTGAGCTCCGAGGAAGCAGGCTTGGCGGCCGGGGCGGCAGCTCCGCCGTCAGCAGGCTCTTGAGGGCGCCGCTCCGTGGAGCCGGGCGCGGCGGCTGCGGCCGGCGGCCTGCGGCCGGCCGGCGGCGCGGTGGCAGCCGACAGGGGCGGCGGGGCGCGCGCGCGCGCCGCGTCCGCGCACTCCCGGCCGCCTCCGACGCGCAACCGCCAGCGCGTAGAACTCCAGCAGCTGCGCGATGACGCTCTGCTGCTCGAACAGGCAGCCCCTCCCAGCTTCTCCAGGCGCTCCCACATCTTGTATGTACTCTTGCGACAGCAGGTCGAGCGCGCGCACAGGCGTAGCGCAGCTCCGTCTCGAGGATGCCGAGGCGCATGCCCAGCCGCTGCCATGTAGTCGCCGAGGATGAGGTCCACGTTGTGACGTAGGAGTGCGGGGGCGCGGGCGCGGGGAGGGCGGCGGGCGGCGGCCGCGGGGCGCGCTGGCGTCACAGCGCCGGAGGAAGGCGAGCCTGCGGGCGGCCGCGCCGAACGGCTGCAGGCTCTTGGCAGCGCGCCAGAGTCCATGGCGGCGTCGGAACTTCACTTGCGACAGGAATGGTGCCGCGCCCGCGGCGGAGGCGGGGGCGGTGGTGGCGGGGGGGGTGGGCGGCGGCGAGGGCTTCAACCGGCGCGGGCGGGAGCCCAGCGCGCGGCGCCGGGG